TGTCACATACCTGTGAAGCGAGCTGTGCAGTCCCACGTGGAGGAGGAAGAAGCGGCCATAGCCGTGGAGCATCACCACGGAGTAGTTAAGGAGGGAGAGAAACCGGACAAAGGGGGAGAGACCGAGAAGCGAGAGAAAGCGGCCATAGCCGAGAGGTGAAGAGGAGGCCGATCAAAAAAAAAAAAAAAAAAAAAGAAGAAGAAGAAGACAGCCGGGGTGAAAGGAGGCGAGGAAGGTGAAGGGGAAGAAGAGGGTTGGAGAGGAAGAAGAGCCGGCAGCCATAGCTGACCGGAGGGTTGACCAAGAGGGTTGACCAAGAGGGTTGACCAGAGGTGTTGACCGGCGGTTATCAGAGTTGACCGGGGGCTATAGCAGCGTTGACTGGCGTTGATCAAGGCCGTTGACCAAGGCGTTGACCAAGACTTTGACCAAGCTGGAGTTGGTAACATCTCGCCAAGCCCTCAGCCTATCCCTCGCCCTATGGATGTGCACACACCCCTTGGTACTTGCTGAGTCCAGTCTGTCTGTCTATTCTTTCTGCATCGAGTCTCTTCTGTCCTAGGTGATAGTACTCTGTGGATGAAGGATAGGACCTGGATGACGAAACCCCTACCTGACTAAGTAGAGCTGATACCGTGTCTAATCTCACTGTCCCGAAGGCCTAACCGGTGCTGACCGGCGGGGCTCGGATTGGGCGTGACACGGTGGGCTTGAACGGCGGAGTTGTGGGCTGACACAACAGGCAGTCTTAAGTGTTGAGGGCCTTGTTGACCTAAACCCCTACCGGACCTAGTAAGGCTAAAGGCCGTGTCTGGCGACTCGACTGTCCCGGAGGTGAAACCCTCCCAAGGACCGGTACTGACCGGCGGGCTGCTCGGTGTGGCACGGTAGGCCCGAAAGGCTGAGTTGTGGGCTGACGCAACAGGCCAGACCAAGCTGATCACATCGTCCTGTCTGCGACGTTAAAGAATTCTTGAGGAGTTACGGGGGATCTCCTTAAATGCCTCCTAATCAGCAACAAGTCTAGTAGTGACAGCCATAGCATAGGTCTAGTAGTGACAGCCATAGCATAGGTCTAGGCTAGAGACCATAGTTGGCAGGATCCCTGTCCGGATTCTGTGAGCCTTAGATTGAGTCTATAGGGTTGTCAGTCACGGGTTAGAGTCAACGTGGTGAGGTTTCGAACCACCACCCGGTCGTGCACTTTTCACCATGGTTGAGACCCGCAGTGGGAAGGACACTAGCCCCTACACCAAGGAGCAGCAAAAAAAGATGGCCGCCTTAGTTAAGGAGAATAGGGAGAGAAATGATCGCGAGAAGCAAGTAAAGTTAAAGGCGATTGCAGACGAACAGGCGGCGAAGATGAAGGAATTGGAGGAGGAGATGGAGAAAAAGAAGAAGGCTGCTGAAGAAGAAGCGGCAGCAAAAGAAGAGAAAGAGAGAATGAGGATTGAGAGTGGAGAGGGGAGCAGTGGTGGCACGATGAAGAGAGACACACATGTTGAGATTGAAAAGAAGATAAGCGAGTGGGTCGCTAATTTATCGTTGGGAGAAGACCAGGAGGCGGAATCTTATGTAACTGAGGATGAGAGGGCTGCGCTAGCCAGTGAGCTAGCAGCAATCACAGATCCAATGGAACAGCGAGAAAGGGAGGAGGAGCAGAAATTGGCGTGGAAGCTGAGGATGAAGAGGGAGAAGAAGAGGAGGAGAGAGGAAGTGAGCAATTTGACCGCAGAGGTAGCAAAGGTGCAGGAGTGCAGGCAGGAAGTGTTGGCCCAACCAGATGACAAGGCCAAGTGGGACAAGGTGTTGGGTTACCTGAAAGTTTTGAGCAAGGCCTGGATAGAGGAACGCCAGGCCAGTTAGAGCCAGGATGCAGCCTTGAGTGCCATGCGGTCAGGGCTTAGGGAGTTTGCGCGCGAGATCGTCACCCATATTGGGGGCGAAGTCAGGCAATTGAGGGACAACGTAGGGAAGTTCTATGAGGGCGCCATTGAGGGTGCCAAAGCGTTTTCGGGGGAGGGTCGGCGGTGGGGTCTGCGAGAATAGCCTGGCGTACATGGCACCACCACGAAGGGTGAGCACGTACGTAGCACCACAACGTCTGTGCACGCAGAGGATTGGGATCAAGCTCGGGGAGGTTGGGGATCGGGGTCGGGCAGGGTTTTTCAATTACGAAAAAAAAGCGTAAGAAAAGGGAAAAAAGCGAAGAAAAAAAAAACACGTTGCAAAACCGCCACGTTACCTATCAATCAATCAATCAATCAATCAATCCTTAATTGATTGATTCGTTGATTGATCGATTGAAAGAAACAGGGGCGAAAAAGCGGACGTGGCGAAAAGGCGAAAAAAAAACGCGGGGGGAAGGGAGGACTCGTCTCCCACCAATCAATCAATCGCAATCAATCAAGCAATCAGTCAATCAATCAATCAATCAATTGCGATCAATCAATCAATCAATCAATCAATCAATCAAATGTGTTTTCAAGTCGGATCAAGTCAAGATCGCTCTCTCCCTCTCTTTCTCTCTCTTTCTCTCTTTCTCTCTCTCACTCTCTCACTCTCACTCTTTCTCTCTCTCTCTCGTTCTCTCTCTCTCCCTCTCTCTTTCTCTCTCTCTCTCTCTCAATCTATCAGTCAATCAATCCTTAATTGATTGATTGGTTGATTGATCGATTGAAAGAAAAAAAGGCGAAAAGGCAAAAAAAAGATGCGAAAAGACGAAGGAAAGAGAGGCGAAAAGCCGGAAAAAAAAAGACTACGGCGGTTTGATCAGGCAATCAATCAATCAATCGATTGGATAAACAGATTAAGTGATTGAAAAAGAGAGAGAAAGAGATTGATTTCTCTCTCTCTGTGCCGCTCTCGCAATCTCTCAGTCTCGATAAACCGATTGATTGAGAGAGAGAGAGAGAGAAAGAGATCCAGACCGGCGCCGGTTTCTGCATCGGGATCACGGTCGGGGTCGGCGTCGAAATCGGGGTCTGGATCACTGGGGGGGGGGCTTGCTACGGCCACTGCGCAAAGGATCGCATTCAGGATCGTGGTCGGGATTGAGAGGCGATCGATTGATCGATCAATCGATCAACCAACCAACCAACCAACCAATCAATCAATCAATCAATCACGATCAATCAATCAATCAATCAATCAATCAATCAATCAGTCAATCAATCAATCAATCAATCAATCAATCAATCAATCAATCAATCAATCGCAATCAATCAATCAATCAATTATCGCGGGGAGGTAC